CAGTTTGGCTAGCTAGCTAACAGCCAGCGGGCACTGTGAGGATGCTCGACATTGCGCCACTGATGCTAATCCACAAAGAATAAACTCTAATGGGCTGCGAATTATTCTAATCTTGATTCGACTTCGAGCTAGAGCTCCAGTCCAGGGCGCGGTTAGGCAGGCCTTGAGAGCCTCAGCAATTTGTTAGAGCTTATGCTCCCAAAATGACTCATATTAAACGAGGGGAGTTAGTCAAATATATTTCTCTCGCAATGCTGGCTACCTGCTGGGAGAACAGCTCCCAGATTGGGATAGTAAATTGCTTCCGGCATGGATATTAATATTGAGCAATTGAAGTGAACTAAAAATATATATAAATATATATAAAAATTCGTCTAAAATGCAACTCTAGCTTTTTATGCTCTCCACAAGTATCATGAATTCAATCTAACTGCATCACGTAACACATCGCCCCCTGCAAGGAGCTTTGTAAAGGAAAAACAGCAACAACAACAACAACAACAAAAAACAAACAATCGTGAGTCAATTTGAATTCGCTTTCTTGCATTTGCCTTCTGGTAAACTCGATCAGTTTTGGGTGTGGCTGCAGCCTCAGAGATTCAGTGAATGAAAATGGGAAAACTAGGCAAAGCTAGTTGAGAGCAAAATGCAATTGTGGGTTAGTGGGTAAATGCACAACAATGCATGCCAGCAACAGTTGCTGTCGCTAGAGTCGCTGTGACGTAGCAATTGCATTATATGCTTGCCATGAACTGGTTGGCGGACAAAACAAAAGACTTGGACCACAAATTCGTAATGCCAAAAAAGTAAAAAAAAAAAAAAAATGTAAATAATTAAAAATTAAATTAAATATTACATATTCACACATGTTCCCAGCGACGCTTTGCAGTTAAATTAATTTGTTGTCGGCCTTTTATCTAGCTAATATATATATACAGTAATCTACATTTATTAGAGTGTGTAAAAAATTAATGAGTTTTTAAATAGTAGCATGAGGAAGTTGAGTTCCAATTGAACATACTTTTGCTTCATTTATTTTTTTTTTTTTATAATTAATAAAATTCTAAAATCAAACAATAGAGACTAGACCAAGGCACACACCTCAAAAAAAAAGATCTTTTAGTTTTGTTCACGTTCTCGAGGCGTTGGCCCCAAATTGATGCCGTGCTGAGCTGCAGTTCTACACTATAATTTCAAGCCACACTTTCAAATTTTATGATGTTTGCATGCAAAAAATGGAAGAAAAAAAATCGCAGTACTGTGAGAAACTTGGGCATGAACGGATTGCATGATTAATGGGCCATAGCTAATGACCAATGACATAATGTAATGACTTAAGCTCTGTCAGTTTGGCACTTGCACTGCCCTCAATTAGTTCAAACTAGCTACAACAACAGCAATAACTACAACAATTGCAGCAACAATCCGTAACCCGCTGTGGCAAACAGCGTCGCAAATCGTGTCAAGTTCAGTTCAACCGCTGTGGCATCTAGTTGGCATTTCGCAGTCAAAAACTCATCCAAAAATGAACAAAAAAATATCACTAAACTTGTAGGCAACGAACTCGTTTCTAGGCCAGCAGCTGGCCAATAGAATTGATTTATGTCTTGGTATTTCTATAGCTATCACTATACTGCTACTCAATGGGAAGCCAGTACTTCAAAGCGGCTATATTGGCTTTCAGATTAAGCTTGAAACAGTTGAAATAGAACAAGTTAAAAGTAAATTAGTTATAGCTCAGGTTCATTCACTCACACAGATGACCGATAACAGCGCTCACACAGAACTGTTACTTAACAGCGGGAGCAACGTGGCTGCTCGCTGTTATGCTCGTTGCTCATGTTAGGGTATGTGAAGTTTCTCATTTCATTTGTCGAACTTGTTAAGCAGTTGCTTGGCCAAGTCTCGTCAGTCGCCAAGCCCCGTTGACATTTTGCAACATGTCCGAAACGAGTTACGCACGCTTACGCACGGTGCCGTTATATGAATGAAGTCTGGTTGGCTGAGAGCTAAAGCAAGAGCGCGGCCTGTCGCATTTCATTATTGGCCATGGCCCCACTCGTTCACAGTCAAGGCAAACGCAATATCTCTGGCAACTGCAACTAATTGCATATGGAGTGTTGTACAGGTGTTTTAATTAGGCGATAAATTTTGGCTGAGGTAAGCATGGCTTTACCAGACTTGAGATGAACAGCAGAGAACTAATTACTGAGGAGTTCTGTACTGTATAGAGTGAAATAGATAACATATGTAGAGGGATTGGGAGGAATAGAAAACCCAGCTCGTTTTTAATATGAACAGCAATAACAACAGGCGATGGCAGAAAATAGATTTCTCTTGAAATAGAAAAAAATGAGGAAGAAGATAGTCTAAATCTAAGCTTAATGACCTACCTAAGATAATAATCGGATGAGCTTGAAATAGAATAAACTGAGGTATAAATTAGTATAGAATTAGTCTAAATATAAATTTATAATATAAAAAAATATATATTTATATTTAAAATAAATAAAAATATTATAAAATATAAATTTTACAAAATATATATACCTAATTTTTAATAAATATGATATAATATCCGAAGAATTTGATCAAAATATAACACTTTAAATCAAAACGATTTTAAGCTGGAATTAAAGTATGCCGCCTGAAAGTATGCAACAAAAATATGTACTTGAGATTAACTTTCGCTTAATAGCAGCAGCAATTGCTATTGTACTAAACAATATAACAGATAATAAGCTCACAAAGGGTTATTGGAGTACCCCGTATGGCTTTCGTTAACTTAATAAAAATAATTAAAAAAATTTAATCTATATTGACAAAAATGTCAATTTATAGACAAAATAATAAATGTGAGTAATCTGATGGTGTATAAAAAATACCCTTAGGAAAAAGTCAAGGAGAGGTTATATTTAAATGCCTTAGAAGCCCCATAAACATTATTTGACATACATACATTCATACTTACATATGTAGTATACATATTTATATACATGATATATTATGACTGCCATAAGTTCAAGATTGTATCTAACCCCAACAGAAGTAAAATTCTTGGAACTAGTGAGTATATAAAAACAAGTTTAATAACATTTCTCAATGCAACATAAGCATTTCTCCTTGTAGACAGCTCGGTTCAATGGCTTTGACAGGGCCTGGGTAAGAAAGTGGGCATATTGTCTAGTTGGGCTACCTTCTTTATGGCCAGGTGATAAGACAAGCAAACGTTGATGCTGCCTCTGGCTTATCTAAATTAAAGTTTCGGCAAGGTTTAGCCCAAAAATTCTTGCCAAATTTAGTATTAAAGCAACTGGAGTCCCAGAATGAGGCAGTGTGAAAATGTCTACAACGGAGGTGAAACTATTTGGCTGCCTGCTGCAGCTGCTCTGCCTGGTCGCCATAGCCAAGGCGAACTGTAACGTGTGCAATCCAGTCAACAACATGGCCTGCTATTCGTCTAGCCAATTTCAAGCTTGCGATGCAAATGGTGTGCCCTCTCGCCTACCCGCCGCCTGTCCCGCCGGCTACTCGTGCGTGAGCGGTCCGAGTGGTGTGATCTGCCTGCCGAATGGCAGCACCGTCATAGGCGATTGCCAGGACTGCAACAAGTGCGATGCTAGCATGACCTTTGCCTGCACCTCGACAAGCACCTTTGCCCTCTGCCTGGGCACGACCACGCCCCAGAACTCAACCGGCAGCTGTGCGGCCGGCTATGTGTGCAACATGAATGGCTCGCAGATCTGTGGACTGGAGACGCAGGTCAGGCCCACCTGCTCATATGCAGATGATCCCACAACAACAACAACGACAACTACGACAACACCGGCGACAACAGCAGCGACAACAACAACGGCACCAGCCACGCCCTCGCCAGAAAATCCCAACGCCTACTGCTCGGCTATGTGCGCCCAGGGCTACTATCCAGTTGGCGATTACGCGGAGACAACTTGTCGGCAGTACATCCATTGCTACCTGTTAGGCGGCGTTTGGCGAGGAAAACGATACAACTGCCCTGGCCGCACGTACTTCAGCCCAACGATGCGATTGTGCGTTACCGCAATGCCGGCGAACTGCTATACGCCCACCTTCACCACCACAACCACCACCGCTGCTCCAACCACCAGCAATCCGAACGCCTATTGTGCCAAGATGCAGATCCAGGACACTTTACCCGTTGGCACCATTGCCAGCAGCACTTGTCGCCAGTACATCAAGTGCTTCCGGCAGGGCAACAGATGGCTGGGCCAGCTGTACACCTGTCCGGGCAAAACCTACTACAGCAGTGCCACCAAGAAGTGCGTTACAGCGCTGCCCGCCACCTGCACGAGTGGCATAGCCAGCCTAAGTCTGAACGGCGTAGATCTGGAGTAAAATATAACATAGGCTGATAGAAGTGAATCTCCCGGTTTCCATTGCTTAATTTTTAAGTTAGTTTTATTATAATCTCCAACAGAAAGAAAATAAAATGAATTCGTGCTGCAATCACTGTTATCGTTATCATTGTCCTTGAGCTGCATATAGCTGTAATTATTATCATTGCCATTGTCAGTGTAATCATTATCTTTTTCATTAAACTCTTTCATGAATGACCTTAGTCAGGGCAGCAGAAAAAGATTTGGTATGGAGTCTAATAAGCCAATTGTCAAACTAATAGACATCCGCTACTTAGCTAGCTTTTAATTTGCCGCCTGAAAGTATGCAATGAAATTTTTCTTCGTTTCTATTTGACTATGGCAGCAACCATCAGAGCGTATACTTAATTTTTCGATACCACTCTATAAAGATTTGTATATAAATATATCAGCAGAATGATGAAAAGACTATATAAATATGTATTTGAATATATATAAAAAGAGGTCTATATAAGGTATAATGTATATACATAAATCATAAACCATAAACTTAATGACTATGACAAGCTGAAAATATCTTATCTTAATAGAAGTGAAATTCTTTGAACTAGCGAGTGGCCATATAAAAGTGTTTTGTTTATACCCTGTTAAAAAAGTTTAACTTGTTAATGCTGTGCATTTATTCTTGCAGACAGCCGGGTCGAGTGGATTTTACAGTGCCACAGCAACGAGTCCAGCCATTGAAGTAGGGATTCGCTGCAGGACAATCGATAATGCGACCCACCCACGTATTTATATAGAAACGACAGTAGATGTAGCTGAAGTAGAGCAACGAGAAAGAGCACACATATACATACACATATAGACATACAGACATTTATGAAAAGTAAGCTCACCTGGTGCAAACGGTGTCATTGGGAATGGCATGGATGGGAATACCCTTGAAGGAAGCTCGGCAAAAGGCGTCTGGGGACAGGGCGGTGCTCTCTGTTGTGGTGCCAGCTGTGGTGATTGGCTCTGTGGTTGTCGCCCGCTCAGCGCATGTGGCACTTGTCACTGCTGCATTGCCGCATATCTCCCGCAGATAGATGTTGCACACCAGATCGCCAGTGCAGCTAGACGTCAGGGTCGTTGAGGGCCGACGACCGCCCAGGCACAGGGCAAAGGTGCGTGGCCCAGTGCAGGCAAAGACGCCCTGTTCATTGCACTCGCCACAGCTGTCACAGGCTCTAAGTGCCGGGCTCTGGTTGCAAATCGTCGACTGGCCGGAGCAGTAGCTGCCCGCCGGGCAGGAGTTGATGGGTCCAATTGGCTGATTGTTTGCACAGAACTGAAACTGGCTTTTCGAGATGCAAGCCACATTGCTGACCGAGTCGCACACATAGCAAGCAGCCCGAGCGTCACGGCTGCCCAGCGAAATCCCAAGGAAGACGGCGAAGAGCAGACGCCGCATCTCGAATTGCAACTGCAGTGCAAACTAAAATGCAACAGCCCTTGAAAGTCAGAAGGCAATTGCATTCGGGCGTAATCTAATTGAGGGAATAAAGATCTGTGTAAGAAACTGAAATCTAGCTAATATTTATGGCCTGCTGATAAGCAGTGCTGCCAGCTTAGCCAATTTCAGGCTAGATATGGCTTTTTTAGAGAGAAAGAGAGTGAGAGACAGAGAGGGTGAGAAAGAGGGAGATTGAGAGAGAGTGATAGAGAGTGATAGAGAGAGAGAGAGAGAGTGACAGAGAGAGAGAGTGTAAAAGAGAGAGAGAGTGACAGAGAGAGAGAGAGAGAGAGAGAGTGTGAAAGAGAGAGTGTGTGGAAGAGAGAGTGAGAGTGAGAGAGACACTCTGTCTGTCTCCCTATCCATCTACACTCTGTCTCACAGTCAAGGGACGAGGAATAACTGCAGATCACTTAAATTGTCTGCATGTATGCAGCAGTAGTCATTCAGCATTTATATAGAAGGCTTGTAGCCGCAGAGAGTGTTCCCATTGGTCACTTGGGTCTCTACCTGTCGTCGTGCCTAGCATATGAGCGCGACTTCGTGTGTGAGTGACAGTCACCCTTTATATAAAGGGCAGCAGCTGCAGCATTTCTTCAGTCGCCCAGGCCTGTTGGGGGTCAGACGTGCAGTGCAGTAAAATGAAGTGAAGTGAAGTGTGTGTGAATATTTAATGATCGTTCAGCCAAGTATTAAAGACTTGGAGGAAATATTTGGAGAAAACAATAAATACTATGAGGAAATTCTTAGAGGAAACTTAGAATAAATACGCTGAAGAAATACTTCGAGAGAACATAAGAAATACCTAAAGGAAATACTTAAAAGCAAAAATGCGAAGAAAAACTTAAAAGAAATACTTGGGGGAAATATAAGAAATACTTAGAGGGAAATACTCAGAGAAAACTTGATTTCATTATCATGAAAGGCATAAGAAAGGGCGCAGCAAATAATTTGCTAAATATATTTGCTGTTTTTCTAAAATTTCTTCCATTTTGTTTATCTAGCCGTTATTTTAGCTTGGTTTAGCCTATTTTTATCAACAATCAAATTTATTTCGGAGCTCAACAACTGACAATACTGATGATAAGACAAGCAAACGTTGATGATGCTCTAAAATTGGTTTACTGAGATTGTAGTTAAATGAAAGTAACTGGCGTTCAATTGCAGCTGCTTTATAACTAAGCTTGCTGCCTGCTGTAGCTCCTCCAGCTCCCCTTAGCAGAATATGTCGAGGCCATCTACTTGACTATGCGACGAAGTGTCCTTTATCCTACATGTAAGCATGGCTTTTGATATGGATACACTATCATATCATTATCATAATTGTTGTTGGGTCTGATTCTAATATTATAACTATCATTGAAATCGTCTTTATAGGCATCAATTATTTTATTTATGCCACTAACATAACTATTATTATTATTTATTTTGTTTTTAATATCCTCATCATTATTATCATTATATTTTTCATTGCTTTTATAATTATTATTTATACATTCGTATAATCTTAAACCATAGCAGTACAATTAGCTGGCGCTACGTAGACGCAGCGCTGTGTAGCCGCGTCGAAATAGGCATTCGCCGCGCACTGATATTCCACGGCTCTTATTTGGCCAGCCTTGTTGTAGTAGCAGCTGATGTAGCTGTAAAGATAAGGTGAGATTAGCGGGAGAGCATTTGGCACTAATATTGCGCACCGTCTGCAGTAGATATCACGTGGCTGGGTCTCGTAGAGTCCTGTGTATGCCTTCAGCTGGCAGAGCTGCTGCGCCGTCATGGAGTCGGGCGTCGGCGAGGGGCTAGGCGATGGGCTGGGCGTCGGCGAGGGGCTAGGCGATGAGCTGGGCGTGGGACTCGGTGTGGGGCTAGCCGTGGTGACAGTTGTCGGTGGCGTGCTGGTTGTGCTGGTGCTCACCAGATCATCGTGCAGGTCACATGTGAAGGTCTGCCCCACCCGCTCGGGCGTGCAGACCACGTCGCTGCTGGCATCGCAGGCGTAGCCCGGCGGACAGAAGCCCAGCGCTCCCGTCGGCCGCGTCGCTCCATAGCACATCTGAAACGTCCTGCGGCTCTGGCAGGCAAACTTGTGATTGCGATGCGCACTGCACTGGCCACACTTGCTGGTGTCGCCGCAGCTGGGCGGCCACAGCGCGTTTTTCTGCACACAGATTGCGGTGCGGGCGGTGCAGACGGTGCCCTCCAGGCAGTTGTAGATGCGATCCGTATGCGGCATGCCATCTAGATGGTAAGACATGTGACGATCATATCCACAATCAACTCTCGAGACTCTTATAAATACCTCCGAAGCACAGATAGAAGGAGGTGGAGTTAATGCAGGCAGCCTGATTCGTCTGGCAAACATTGCAATCCGTTACCACATGAGCCACCAGACAGGCAAAGAAGAGCTTGAACAGAAAATATATATGTATGTATATATAAAGTTTGTCTGGTATATATTCATGTATTGTCTTACCGCCAAGACAATTTGAAGATCCTTGGCCATGGTTTCACCTTGTACTCCGGCGTTGTGTTCACTGTCAAGGTTTTGCCTCTACTAAAGAACATTAAACTCTTGTTCGCTGCGTTATAAACGTTGTCTTAGTGAAATTTTCATTGTTTATCTACTCTTCATATACGTACGTATATATAGATATCATTTTGGACATGCTAATTGTTTTATTTGCTTTGGCTTTCCACTTGATTGCCTGGCGCTGTTTTATGATCCCAGCATAAGAGCCGAAAGAAGAAGAAGAAGAAGAAGAAACCTAACACTGCGATAATGAGCTGAATAGCACTCATCTTCATAATGATACACCTGAGCAGCAGCCGGGCCATTGACCAAAATTCTTCAGAGTCCGCTAAGAAGAGTTTCGCTTGAGGTAAAAGAAGCTGCGGAAATTAGAGGAAAACTAGGAAGCTTTATAGTAAATTCCAAGAATACCATTCTTAGAATAGGATTAAGTAATGCCAGAGCTAAATCATTAAAGGCTTAGCTATGAGAGCGACTGTCGACAATTGTTAGCAAATGTGCTGGAGTAGTCGACTAGCAGTTGCCCTGGAATTGAGCTTGATTAAGTTCTAATCTACAATTTTATTGTTTTCCTTTAAAATTTCATTATAAATAAGCATTTTTCTTTTTAGTTAGTTTATAATATATTTTTTGCTTTTAATTTTATTTGTAAATATTCCTTGAATTTTTAACAACAGTAAAATAGGTATTATTTGCCTATAGCTAATGGGTATAAACCATTCTTTATTATACATTTAATTTTATGTAAATATTGTTATAAATCGATATTCAAATACATAAGTTTTGTATGGAAATTTCATTACCGACAGCCCGCGCCGCTTGGTCGTGTTGCACCACAGCCGGAGACGGCATTGAAGTACGGATTATTTGCATTGCAGTTGCGTATGGAGCCGTTCCACACATTGGCCCGGTAGAAGCAGTAGATGAAGCTGCAAGTGAATATCAATAATGATGTATATGCATATGTTTATAGATGGATCGAACTCTACCTGGTGCAAACGGTGTCGTTTGGTATGGCGAAATTGCCAATTCTTTGAATGCCTTGGCAATAGGCAGTCGGATCAAGGGGCGGCTCAGCTGTAGATGTGCTGGCTGTGGTGGTGGTTGGCGTGGTTACCTCAGGTGTGGGGCCTTGGCTAGGGCCTTGGGTAGGGCCTTGGGTAGGGCCTTGGGTAGGGCCTGGGGAAGGGCCTGGAGTGGGGCCTGGAGTGGGGCCTGGAGTGGGGCCTGGAGTAGGGCCTGGGGAAGTGCCTGGAGTGGTACCTGGGGAAGGGCCTGGAGTAGGGCCTGGGGTTGGATTTGAAATGCTTGGAGTAGACGTTGGCAGCTCCGTATCACCACTCTCAACGCGATCACAAGAGTCGTCCACTTCCGGCTCGCATATCAATTTGCAGGGATTTCCGGCAGCCGCATTTTGCACGCTGCAGAAATAATCTTTGGGGCACTTGCTCTCCTGGGACAATACCTTGCCGGCATGGCATCCGGCGAAGGTGGTGAGCGAGGTGCAGGCGAAAATCTGCCCTTCGTCGCATTTTCCACATTTCTGGGTGTTGGGACAGGCCGGCGGCAGCCACAACGGCTGACAAATGCTGCCGAATTGCGTGCACACTGGCATTTCTTCCGGGCACTTGAAGGTCAACGACGGCACGGGCTTTTCTGTGGGCGGCACCGCATTCTGGTTAGAGATCGACAGCAGCTTTTGCCAACGCAATGGCCAGTATCAACTTACTCTCGTAGCACACCCGGAAGGTGGTGTTGTCGATGCAGGTGTGCGAGCCGTAGCAAAAGCCGCAGGTGGCATCCACGAGTGCTGACGGTGCCAGCAAAATGGCCAGCAGAGCCAAAAGCCCAACGCGCAGCAGCTGGGACATCTTCGGCAACTAAATGAACTGCCCGAGTGCCGTTGCCATGCCTTTTAAATGCTGAAATGCTGCAGAGACTGGAGACCTGGAGCACTATCTTTATGATAGGCGACAGGGCCAGAGGTACGGGCGAGGGCAGCAGCTGCCTTTCAGCTTTATCTCTCAATGCTAGAGCATCCATAAATATGCTAGCTACCGTGCGGCTGCAATCTCCTGTAAATAAACTAAGCCCAGCATAAAACCAGAAAATTATCTCTGCCCGCTTCTTGTTTTTCCCAACAGCATTATCTGAGCGATCGTCCCATATAAACGTGTGGCGTATGTTGAAAGGCCTCATTAGTCAGCTGAACGCTCTGCCCAGATATTCACAATGCAGCCGAGCTATTTGGTAAGTTGGCGTCGAAAGGAAAGCTGATTTCTTTTCCTCAACTGCTTGCCGTCTCTTCCACAGATCCTCCTCGTGGCGCTCAGCTGCTGCCTTCTGGCTCTGGGTGATGCTGCTCATTGTGGCGGTTGCATGGATAACAATGTGGCCTGCTTTAACCGCACCCACTACAGGGTGTGCGTCAACCATTCGCCCATTGAGGGCGGCAACCTTCTCGCCTGCGGCCCCGGCAAGATCTGCACCGATAAGCAGGATTTCTGCTGGACACCGCTCCCTAGCGATGGAGTTTACCCGGTTTGCAGCGATTACACGACTAACTGCAGACAGTGCGATTATGACAAGATGTTCGTCTGCACCAGTCACACCACCTTCCAGCTGTGCACCGGACCCAAGATGAGCCCCGAGGTCAATTACTGTCCAGAGGGCACCGTCTGCTCCATCGATTCCGGCGACTTCTGCGTGAAGCCATGCAAACTTCCGAATGGCAGACACGAGTGTGATAGATTAGAGCCCATTAATTAGTTTTTTTTTTTCACTTTCTTAATGTATTTCAAATGCGATGCAATAAATTTATATGCAAATTAAATTAATTGAGATTTGCTCTTGAAAATACACTATATTGACCAAAGATTTATTTGGGTACACTTATTACTTACTAGATATCGTATATATAAAATTATATATATAATTAAAATTGTTAATTATAATCGAAATGGATATCGATTTTAATCGATTAAATTAACTGATGATCATGCATAATATGTTTATACATTGACTATATATATATATATATATGGGAAACAGCAAACGAATTCCGATTACCAAATAAATTATAATACAAGTAATACTTACTTTATATATGTACTGCTAAGTGGTTCCAAGATCTCTTGTTTAGTAATATTGTGAATGTCTACATATATAGAAATATATTCATATGTATATTAACGTAGCAAATATCAAATTTATTAACGCTTGTGCTTAAGATAACAAATTGCCTTGAGCACTGCATGCATCAATATAATACATAAAATATATATCAGAATTTATCATAAAAATATATAATATATAGATATTAATAAAATCAGATAAATTGGTCTAAGCGCCTTATATAATACGTTAAGCTCATGTAACTCTCTTCTCAGTTCATTCAAAACAATTCGCGTGAAAAATGAGTCGACCCTGAATTTTGAGTATGACTAAAGACCCTTATAAATAAAGCTCTTATCAGGCTTGTCAGCTGTTTTATTTTTTTCTCAGTTTTCGGCCAATAAACTAGCTGTGGGGCTGAGCGGATGGTGGGTGGTTCGCGTGGTTTGTGTGGCTTGCAGAGGCGAACCAAACGGTTGAAAATAAATAAATTTATTAAATTAGGTTAACATTGACCCGATTTCAGTGCAGCGTTAATCAAATTAGACAAAATGCTGAGCTGGGCCCGGGTGCTGTCATAGCTCTTACTATTATTCTATTATGTGGCTGAGTTTTCTTTTATGTCGCAACAGGCAAATTGCCTCTGGCACTTTCATGCTCGAGTTTTTTATTATTGTTGCGCTCGCAGGCCTTGCCCAACATATAATCGATGCGAAGGTGTGGAAAAACAAATTCGCAACAGGAAGCGCACACACAAAAAAGCTGACGAAACGTGAATAAATACTTTATATATATACATAAATGTTTGCTTGTATGTGCACCACCCACCCATGCCATTGACTGCATTGCTGGCTGATTGTGGCGCAACTAATTGTTGTTTACCACTGCCGCTGCTGCTGCCGCCTCTGCTGCTGCCACATTTTGTTATTGCAATTAATAAACTAGTAAATTTATAATTTTTCTATTTCTCGCTCACAAATTGCGGTCATTAAACCTATTTCCATGGCAAGTTGGATAAATTGTCGCCTCGCCGCAGCTGCGTGCCACAACAGTGACAAAGCGCAACGCGTGCGCAACTCCAGCGAACATGGTCTACTCGCAGCTGCCGCTACGCTGCGTATACCTCATCTCCTGCAGCCTCTTCGTCCTGGCTGCCGGCAAAGTGCCCACAGCCACGCATACGAACAGCTGGCGCGATCTGTTCTTCGGCAACAAGTGGCTGACGCCAGCGCCCTCGCGCCTTAGAGAATCCAAATGTGGGTGTGCCTAAATTGTGAATTTTGCTTTAATCAAGTTGATCTCAAACAAACAACAAACAAATCCACACACAACTTTCAGTCTTGCCCATATTCACACTGGTGCCCTACGGCACGAGCAGCTGCGCGGCGCCGTCCGGTGAGCTGGGCAATTGCATGGCCAACAAGGACTGCCTCCTGCGCAACGGCATTCCAGCTGGACCCTGCGGCGGCGGCTACGGCGTCTGCTGCGTATGTAAGTGTTGCATCCACTTTACTTATACAAGCATAGCTATCAGAAGTACGCCAGACAAGATCAACTAAGAGCTTTCATAACCCTTGATGAATGGGAGAGTGTGTGAGAAATGTGTTATTTAAAGAGTTAGAGTGAAATTCCTGCTGTGGGTTGAGTGAATAGCTAGAGTGAAGCTGAGCTGAGATTGTTATCAGAGAAAAATTTAGCATGAGAGCATTTCCTAGAGCATTTCTCTACATCTGCAAGTGTTAATTACTCTTTACTTAAAGAATGCTCTTAAGATAGTTGCATTGCATTACCATACCTCGGATATACCATAGGATAATGTATATGTAGAAATAAATAGGTATCTTCCCCCAGATGGATAGTTTACATATCAATCCATTAAGCTAAAGCGCTATTAAAGCTAGAAAAAGCCAAAGCCTTGTCAATGAATCAAGATAGCTATAAAATTCCGCTAGTAGTTCAGAACCTCAACTGACAATAAACTAATCAACTTTGCAACACTGACACCGACTCCCTACTCCCATGCAGTTCTGCAGACCTGTGGCGGTGTTATACGCGAGAACTCCACCTACTTTGTGAATCCGAATCATCCGGATGTCTATGACGGCACGGGAAGCTGCCAGGTGACCGTGCAGAAGATGCATCCGGACATATGCCAGCTGCGCCTGGACCTGGACATGTTCTCCATCGCGCCGCCCGAGCCGGCCAATCATCTGTGCAATCAGGATCAGCTCTTGATATCGGGCGGCAGTCCCACGCCCACCATATGCGGCAGCTCCACAGGGGATCACAGTGAGTGGTATTGCGGAGAGAGCTCTGACTCGAGTCACTTATCGAACGCTCCCTTCTCGCAGTGTACATTGACGCTGGCCTGGGGCAGAGCAATCCCATCGTGCTGTCCGTGATAACCAGCGCGAGTTTTCCGCGCCTGTGGCGCGTGCGCGTCACCCAGATCCACTGCGGCAGCATCAGCCGGGCGGATCAGGGCTGCCTGCAGTACTTCACGGCCATCAGTGGGCGCGTGCGCAGCTTCAACTACAACACGGTGGCCGGGCGCCAGCTCTCCAACCAGGACTACAGCATCTGCATACGCAACGAGCGCAACTTCTGCGGCATTCAGTACAACGCGTGCCCCGATCTGGAGAACAATCGCTCGCGGGCCTTCACCATAAGCGGCAACTCGAACAATCCGGTGCCCACTCTGGTCGGCGGTGGCGGTGGTGCGAATGGCGGCTCGCCCACCGGCGGCTGCACCAGCGATTGGCTGCTCATCGGCTGCATACGCTCCGCGGATCGCATACCCCCGCTGCCCGGCTGCGAGGACCGCGTGTGCGGCGGCACCTTCAGCGCCGAGGCGGGCATGTTGGCCAAGACGGTGCAATGTGGGTAACCAAATCGACGCGAGCTGAACGGCTGCAATAATCCGTCTTTCTACTTGCAGCCAGCGTGCGCCCCTTCCGGCTGTATTTCCACACGGATGGCGTCGAGGCGCCCAACGACATCGACAATCGCGGCTTCTGCCTCGACTACGTGCAGCAGCCCTGCACGAATGGCTTCTGAATGAGATTCGCACTCGACTCGAGCTGTTTTATTTTTTAATAAATATTCAGTATGTATTTTATTTATTTTCGTAGCTAAGTCTAAGGCTAAGGCTAAGATTAAAGTTTAAGTTAATTTCGTAAGCTCGCAGATCGGTACAAATTGAAATCTTGGGTTAACTAAACTTGAATTTGCAATTCTAAAATATATATATATTATCCATATATATATTCGTGTATAGCTATAAAATTTGTTTGGCTATTAATACAGTTGCTGTCTTACAATCAAAAACATTTGCATTCTCAATTGTAATACTTGGACGAAGTAAAAACAAACGAAATCAAAATATATTGAATAACAGGAAAATTAATTAAGAGAACTTGTTTAGATTTAGCTTTCTGTAGGACTGCGTCGATTTCAGTTTCACCTGGCGTGGAGATTTGGGTGCGGGTTGCGTGTGTGAGAAAGAGAAAGAGATACGCGCTGTATCCAGATTTGATTTGCTGCACGTGAGATCGCCAATTTCAGTCTGTGCATAGCCCGACTTGTGACGTCACTGGGTTGATTTGAGTGTTGTTGCTTGGGTGAACATTTTTGCCCGGCTCGAGCTTCGCTCTAATAGGTTTGTATCAAGGCAGCCACGTGCTGTTTCTCCTCCTCGGTGAGGCCGTTCTTCAGCGTGCGACGCACTGCAAAAACACGAAAGCAAAAGTTACTGAAATTGTTCAGGATCAAGTCCTCGGACTTTTCTCGCTCTCTCTCTCATGCAATCAGAGTTAGGCACATGCTTATCTATATAAAATGAACTGGGATTTCAGCCAGGCGCATAAACAAAACTTGGCCAGAGCCATTTGCCAACATCTTCTCGGGAATTTGGATGGCAACACAGGTGAGCGAAATATGTGCAAGATGCCAGCAAATGTTGCTCCGCCCAAGAAAAAACAAAACTCAACAAACAAAAAATTGCAACAAAGAAACAAAAATCAAAATATTGTACATACACACACACATACACATACATAAGGCATATATATATGTATATGGTTTGTGTGTAGCTACAATTTCAACACTAACCAACAAAAGAAAGGTAAAAACCTAAAACTGTTTGGATTGTTTGCGCAACAGTTGCGCAAACGGCTCTAGGGCGACGGTGCTCTTTCAACTGTGAATCCCTCGCGCGTGCGGCTGCGCTTCACTTCAGTATGCGATTGTTTGATTTGTTTTATTATTTATCGTTGTTGTTGTTGTAGTTGTTGATGTAGTTGTAGTTGTAGTTGTTGTTGTTGTTGGGTGCGTTAATGGTAAGAAAACGTAAAATTATAAAATAACAACCGAATATGGGCAAACCGATACGTAAAGCTAGCAAAGAACTAAAAAGAAGATAAGTGCCAAAGCATTTGAATTTGGATTCGAGGGGAATTCATCAAATTTGAGTACGGGAAAAATCATCTTTTGGAATTGTTGCTGTAGCCTCGAGTTTGCAGAGGTGTGTGTGTGTGTGGGGGGTGTGCCTAAATATAGCGCGCTGTGCGTGGTGTGTTCCAAAAGATTAAAATTGATCTCAATCACAGAGCGCTCGTTCGTTTGTGCAACTTACAGGACTTGCGATCCGCATGGCGGGTGCGCTTGCGTTCACGCGGCGTGGTCCGTGTGCCGGACGCCTTGGTCGCCGTCTTGACCAGGGACTCGAGTATTTCGTCGTCGCCGTCGGTGAACTGCTCCTCGCTCTGCCGGGCGATGGGCGAGCGCAGCTGCTCGGCGCGGCGCCGACGCCAGGTGAGCGTGCCATCCGTCTGATCGGGACTGGGAGTGCCCAGCAGTTGCCTGTGAAGATGCAGAGAGTCAATGAAAATGTTGCCGTGTGGGCTCGGGCAGCCAGACGTACTTCAGCTCGGCATCAGCCACATCCTCTTTGGTCTTGAACTTGACCATGTCAATGATCAGCTTGCCGCGCGTCTTGTTGCGCTCCCGGTGATTGGCCTTCTTCTCCAGCTGCTGCTGCACACGCTCGCGCGTCGTCCGGTACTCCAGCGCGAACTCGGAGAGCGTGCGACAGAACTCGTTGGGCCGCGACTCGGCCACGCTGTGCTGCGGCATGCCCAGCCAGAGCAGGAACTTGCGGTAGCGATTCATCACGCGCCGATGCACCGTCTGCAGGCTGATGATGCGCTCGGCGCAGTCGGCCAGGAAGTCCACCAGCTTCTGCTTCAGGGGCGGCGCACAGTCGTGCTTGGCAATCAGCTTGAGGCGGTCCCACGACGCCTTGCACTCCGACTCCAGCTGGGTGAGATTGTGGGCCAGATCGGCGAAGTCGGCCTTGGAGGCGCGCGTGATGGGCCCGATTTCGGAATACAAATCGGTTGTGTCGCTATTCGACTCCATGACCATGTGGCAGAGATGGTGCAGCAGCGAGTGCTTGTGCACGGTGTCCTTCACCTCCGGCACCTTGGCCAGGTACTCGATCTGAAAGCCCTTCACCGGCGCCCCGTTCAGGAAGATGCCCACGGAGAGCAGCGTGGCGAGGATGCTGCGAAAGGTGCGATTGTGGCGCAGTATCTCAATGCCCTGCTTCAGATCCATCAGCGGCTCGGCAATCTCTTTCTGCGGACAGAGCATTCGATGAGAACTTGTTTATATGGATGACTGCTTCACCTACCTCGCAGTTGTCAAAGTCCAGGCGGAAGGCCCAGAGCTTCAGGCGTGCGCCCAGCTCTGTGATGGAGGCCAGCGTGAGCAGGAACTGCTCGGCGCTGCCCAGGGGCAGTTCCGGATTGGACAGCTGCGCCTCCTGGATCTTGCCGCGCTCCTCGTCCGTCGGCAGCATGTTCAGCAGCTTGTCGATGCCCTCGCGCGTCACCACAGTGGCATCCATCTTCAGAATGGCCGCCTTGATGGCGCGCGGCGGCGGCAGCTTGGTCATCGCAATGTTGATGGCATTCGAGCGCTTGTGGTCCAGCACGATGATCTCCTTGCTCTTGTTCAGCTCCTGTTGCTTCTGCAAGTGGCAAGTCGAATTAGTTGAGAAGAGAGAAGTGTGAGAGAACGGGAGAGAGAGAGAGTGGGAGTTTTGTTTATGTTGTAGTGGTTGTGGGGTAGAAGGGGGCGGGAGTGGGGCGTATACGCAATGTAACTAACTGTTAGCAACTAGTGATACCGACTACAGGAGTGTACATGTGTCTGTGTGTGTGCATATGCGTGTGTCTGTGTGCGTGTGTGTGTGTAATTAACCAACACCAACGTATGTAAAACATAGAAAAACTAAAACCGATTGTGAGACAATGAGAGAGAGTAAAACAAAGACAGCGACAGAGTCAGAGTGAGAGTGAGAGAGAGAGACAGATAGACAAAGAGAGAGCGAGTTAAAGTGTATTAAACGTATTATTTGCACTCACCTCCTATAGAACATTTATTTGATACATATATATATATATATATGATATATATATTTATTGATATTGAGAAATTGATTTTGATATAGATTCGATTTTAGCACAACATTTATGTTTTTGGTTTTTTGTCGATATATCCGCATAACAGAGACCGTTCACATATAGAATTAATATTATTGCAAACATGTCCAGAGATAAAAGGGGAAAATAAAACAAATATCATTCGCAAAAAGTTTTCGTTTTGGGTTATGCAACAGTTTAGACTAAAATAATAGCTAAGAGACTTATTAAATGGCATTTGCATCGATGGAATACCCCTAATATGAATCCACCGTGTGTCTATCTAATACGCACCTTGGTCATCAGGTCTTTGGCGCGCGACTCGAACAAGTGCTCCAGCTTCTGTGTGTCCACATTCGCGCTGGGCAGCTCGTCCCAGATCGTTTTGCCTATCACCTGTGGAATCATGTCCTCGCGCACTTCCTTCCAGAAGAGCTTGACCTGAAGGGCGAAGGAAGTTAACCTTGATTATTCTCTATGATCGGTCTCTCTACTCACCGTCTTCTTGTTCTTCTTGATGGTATTGTTGCCATTGGCCAGCTCGCCGTTGATCGAGCCATTGAGGGAGCTATTCACGCTGTTCGTCAGGCTGCTCGCCCCGTAGCCCGCATAGCTGAACATGGGCGGCGGCATCAGGCAGGGCGGCGGCATCACCATGCCTCCGCCCAGGGGCGGCGGTGGTGGCGGTATGCCAGCGCCAAGGCCACGCGGTGCCAGCACATCCTTCTCATCATCCGAGTGTAGATCGGTAAAGTCCAGATCGCATAGGTTCAAGGGTCGCGTCATATTGCGCACCAGCTCCTCCCAGTGCAGCTCATTCTCCGACTTCTTCGGCTCAGCCTTCTTCAGCTCCTGGTCGACGCTCGATGAGCTGCCATCGGATCAGAGATAATACAAAGTATCACAATTATTGCACTGCCGGTCAACTGAGCTGTACTCGATCGTTCGATTGCAATGGACGCACCATAAAAACCAGTCTTATCAACTGTTGGCCTAGTAGCAAGATAGCAAGGCCCCAAACCATGGCAAATAGAAAATGTAAAAGCGAAAGAGAAGCAACATACAAAAAACTTTCTAGATTGGAAGATCCCCCTTCTCAGCTATACTTTTGCGAATATGGCAAACACTTGGTAAGCAAATAAAAGTCATAAATGAAGGAATCGAGAAGCCATAACTCTGTGATCTTTTTATGGTGCTGCCATTTATTATTTTCGTTAGCTGCTTTTATAATTGATAAGATTTACTTATATTGCCCGTGTTGGCTATAAAAAGCACCATTTGAGCAACAGAAATCATAGTCAATCATTAAATCCCGAGCGAAATGGATGTAAGTTGTGCAATGCGCTCCCCATAGATAGCATCGTCTAATCTAAGAACTTTTATTGCCCTGCAGTTCGAGACGATTTGCGAAAAGTCCAAGGCCTTCAGCAGCAAGCCACCACCAGAGGTCTACCTGGAGTTCTACGGACTCTACAAGCAGGTCCACTCCGGCGACGTGAACATCGAGAAGCCCGCCGATGCCGAGGGCGCGGCCAAATACGAGGCCTGGCTGAGCCGCAAGGGCATGTCCACAGAGGACGCCAAGGCAGCCTACATAGCGCTCTATGAGAAGTACGCCCCCATCTATACATAAGTTCGGTTAATACTCTGTTAAGTGCACATTGGCATAATAAAAGAAACTAAAGAAGATCTGCTCTTTGCTCTCGCTGCTTAGTCAGCCCTCCAAGTGGGAAGACCTTTGATGTATTCGCTTTGATAATTAGCAATTAAAGTTTTATGTGGCCCGACGATTCTGGCCACTGGCGCTTATCACACATGTCGATATCTAAAAACGGCTTCTAATGTCATAAATCGCTATCAGCGGCCCGGGTCTCGTATAAATAGACTCCCCCGTGTCACAGTTGGCACTCATTAGCAGCCAAAGCATAAGACATAATGGACGTGAGTATACAGCAGCAGCTATTATGTGATTCTACATCTAAAAGGCAACTGTAAATGGTCATCTATCTTCATAGTTCAACACCGCCGCCGAGAAAGCCAAGGCCTTCACCAAGAGCCCCACCAACGACGAGTTCCTGGAGTTCTACGGCCTCTACAAGCAGGCCACAGTCGGCGACAATACCACGCCGGAGCCCGGCGCACTGGATGTGAAGGCCAAGGCCAAGTGGAACGCATGGACCAAGAACAAGGGCATGTCCCAGGATGCCGCCAAGGCTGCCTACATTGCCACCTATGAGAAATATGCACCCAAATACGCTTAAATCTATTTACCGCTTCGACTTAAATAAATGATAAATTGATAAATTGATAAAACAAAGAACAAAACTAATTTCTCAAGAGCTCTCAACTTTCTAGATCCCGATAGACATTTCTGATATCAACGAGTCCAAAATTTAGTGCTGGCCTTTAAACTAAAAGATTATGCAACTTTTACTGATAGTCCGCCGCTGATAAGATATATATCATGTGGAATATTATTATTATATTGATGATGTGTTGCTCACCGTGAAATTTCACCTTTGCTCTTGCTCTTGGCAAGCCCCTCTTTGGCTTTCGAAATCAGGCCAGACATGTCGCCCACAATGGCGCGGCTGCCTGGCTCCTGTGTGGGGCTGGTGGGCAGATTGCATAGTTTCTGTGTCAGATCTTTGACGGTGTGATCACGTTTCAGCTGCATTAGCATTTCCTTGTCCTCCAGATCTGTGGAAAAGCGAAATGGAAATATATCAATTAAATTGGAAATCGATTTGCCGCGGGGCATGCAACAGCAGCAAATGCAATGTTCGATTTATTTGCAGCGCTTGAAAGTATGCAACATTTTTTCTATGGAATGTGATGGGCGCTGGATTTTCGTGGCTCTGAAAAGTATGCTACAAATTTTTTAGTTCATATAGAAGCTGCACCTACCTGTTGCTTCCATGGCTGTTGGAGGCTCTTGGTTAGTACTGGTTAGGGTTCTAGCTGCATTTGCATTGGTGGCTATGGGTATGTGCCACCAGCCAGGTGGTGGCGGTGGTGGTGGAGGCGGCGGCGGTGGTGGTGGTGGCGCCCCAGCCGCTGGCTTGTGTATGGGACTCAGCGGTTCGGGCGGAGGCAAAGCATCCGCCTTCAGCGGCGTTGAGCTATCGGGCACAAACTCGAAGCCATTGCCATTCAGTGACTTCTCCTGGACTGGGTGGTGGGCCAGATGCTTGGGCGATTGGCTGAGCTGTGTGTAATAGTTGTTCAGTCGATTGGCATCGTTCTCATACTTTTTGTAGGCACTGTCCGTCTGCTGTATGTTCTTCATGATGCCGTTGATCACAGTTGCGTTGCGCTCCCGAAAGAGATTCTTTTTGGTAAGGAACTCATTCTGGTTGTTCATATTGTTGTTGGCCTTGTCGAAGCTGTTGTTGATGATCGAGATGCTCTGGCTGCCACTTAGCAGCTGCTTCGTCGGACTCAGCAGCAAGCTGTTGTTGGGCGTGTCAATGTGGATGTTGTGGGTGTGATGGCAATTGCTATTGCTATTGTTGTTGATGTTGTTGTTGTTGCTGTTGTTGTTAATGTGGTTGCTGCTGCTGTTGTTGCTGTTGTTGTTGCAGGGCGTGGGCGTCTGTGGAGCCACTGGCAGCTCAGATTGCAGCGATTGCGGCGGACTGTCGCCGCTTTGTATGGTTGCAGGAATGGCGGTTACGATTTGGCCTTGGCATATGACAATTGTGGGTGACATATTTGGTTAGCGGGTGACAATGAGGCAGACAGACACATATACACAGCGATTAGCATGGAGAGAGAATCATAGTTAGTTTCGGTTTTTGCTTTCTGTTTTCTGTTTTAAAGCAGCAGCGCCAGCAGTAAGCGATTCGCATGTGGAGCTAACCCACCAAGTACTTACCATAGCTTTCACGCAGCTCCCGGGCCGCAAAGATGCCATTGGCTGCCGCCTCCTCCTGCTCCTTGAGGAAGCTCTTGTGCCGCTCGGCGCGTTCACGTCGGCGACGCAGACCTGGTGTGACCCCAGCGCCATCACGTGCTGGAAATGGATAACAATTAGTTATATTTTAAATTGTTTATAGAGCATACGAGCCTACGTTTCTTCTCCTGGAATATGCCGTTGCTGAACTCTGTGGAATTCGTTGAGCCAGAGCTATCGTCCTCGTCGACTGTCGCCTGTGTGGGTGTCATGCGCAGCACCTGCGTGGGCAGCACCTTGGTCAAGGGCGCCGGACTGTTGTCTGTGCTGTGGCGACGCGATTTGCGTCGCTCCGTGGTGCCGGCGCCGGGACGATAGCGCTGAGTCTTGCGCATTGAGTTCTGCGGCAGGCGCTGGCCATCCGACTCACCATCCTCGAATCTGTTGAGCAAGTTTGGCAATCAATTAGACATCTATGTATATCCATAAAATATCTTAGTTATAGGCCTACTTCAACACCGCCTCGTACAGCTGCAGTTGATCCAGCAGATCGAGATCTGTGCCTGGCTTGGACATGTAGCGCTGTATGACCGTCTCCATGCCCTGCTGCTCCAGCAGATCACTCTCATCATAGAAACTGTCCTGATCCGTCAGACCGGCCAGTGTCTTATTTATCAACGATGTGGCATAGATCACTAGCTCTGCATCCGCATTATCATAGTCCTTAAGCAGTCTGTCAAGAGCGAGCACAGCAAGCGTGAGTGATCTAGATCTAAACGAGCAGCGAGATCGACGGCGATCGCTTACCTCATTATATTGGCCCAGGGCAAAGTGCCTTGAGCGGCGTCCACAGCATGAATGGCGCTCACTAACACATAGCAATTGGTCTCGGCATATTCCACAAACACGAGCAACAGCTTCAGCGCCGTCTTAACCACTGAACGGTAATTGGAGGCGATCAATGAGTAGAGCCACTCCATGGTGGGCTGATGCTTCATAACGCCATTCATGCCATCCACATAGAGCATGACCTGTCGCATTGAATTGACAATGATTAGCTTTGAGTGGTAAGTGCTGATCAATGATCAATGAGGAGTGATCAGTGAGTGAGCAGTGAACAGTGATCAGTGATCAGTGATCAGAAATCCGGTGATCGCTGATCGCTGCTCGCTGATCTCTGATTCGATCTTTGCTTACCTGGCCTAGGGCACGCAGTATATAGTTCTGATAGTTTTGATCGGCGCAATTGCCGACGCGCACGAGGCAATTGAGGCCGCCCAGTGCGACAAAGGCATGCACCAGATCCTTATCCTCCTGGAACACCTGCTTGAGTGAGAACAGAGCACGTCGCAGATCGCTGCCCTCCGATGATAGAAGTTTTTCTGCAAGAGTCCGGATCAATGAGGCGTATGCGCAACACAATTTTTAGCCAGCCAACTTACCTATAATCGCATGAACACGAACGCTCAGCTGTGTGCGAATAACCAAAGAATTTTTGCGACTGCAAGAGAGAGAGAAAGAGAGAGGGAGATAGTGTAGACAGAGTTAGAGCGAGGTAGTGGAACAAAAATTGATATTAATTTTGTATGTAATTTCATTAGCAATGGCAGCAAGACAAAGACACAGGCAAAAAGAAAACTAAAAGTAAAACACAATGGGTTAGCACCGTGCGGTGGTTCATTGACCAGTTAAGAACATTGATTACCCGCTGTTTGCTGCCCAGTTGTTGGCCATAATAAAAGTAATAACAAACGACGCAGATAATTGAAAATGGACTATGAAGCATCTGGGGAGCGAACGTAGCCGCCAATAAGTCGAGCCAAGAATTCATAATGAAATGTGGTCTCGACTCGAGACTCTAGACTCGACTCAGAATGCATACACACACAGGTGTGGCATGTGGCTGTGTGCATGTGTGTGTGTGCATGTGTGTGTGTGTCTCAGTGTTACTCAAGTGTCTTTGGCTGTGGACTCAGTTGCAGATTGACAAGCCAACAACAAGCCATCGACCCATGCGGGCCCCGTGCCTGCTGCGGAATTTTGATGCGTAGTGAAGCGAATGATTTGCATGCGAGCGCGCTTCCATGACTAATACGATAAGCATGATTAGTGGCCAGACCCAACCAGACCCAACCACCACGATCTCCTCCTCCTCCTCCTCCTCCTAGAACACACACTCATTGGCGCCATCTACTGGAGTGCTGGAACGCTAACTGCCCCGGCGACATATACATTATAATTTTATAATGCTCAAGGATCTGGCCAGGCATCTGGCCAGTGAAAGTCAGAAATAGACGCACGACACTACAAGCTAACTGCCCTCCCATCCCTGGCCAGCGCTCCCCTCGCCCAGCCGCCGACAGGTTCTCAGTGCACGCCTTGCTTATATTAATCCCATTATTTGAGCTCTGCCTGACTTGGCAGCATGGCCAAAGAGCAGCTGGCTCCCAGCTAACAGCTACCGAGCTTGGCCCATGGCCTGACGCGTTCGTCAGTTACTTTGGATCGCTGATCGCGGAGCTGACATCACGTTCCTTGCCCAGTCGCTAGGCAACCAAAAAAAATAAAATAAAAAGAAACGACATACTCTAACATATAGACGGGGCATAGGCGAATAAGCATAAGAGCTTTTACATATCTTTCATATGATAATATAGTATATATGATAATATATATATATATGTTGTGATTCGTAATTTTGAGAATTTTTTAATGATTTCTCTAAATATCAATAATAATTTTTATTTAGATTTAGATGTATATAAAAAAAATCCATTTTTATTTTATTATTTTTTTTTTTTTAGCCTCTACATACGTCTATATTTCATATATAAATGACTAAAAAACTCATACAAAAATTATCGCTACCTATAGATCTCGAAAACTTCAAAAGAAATAGATCAAATGTATATATATAAACCGTAACAATCAGTAATAAATGCAACTATTGCTGCTTCACTTCATTGATAGACTCTCAAATAATGCGATTAACTGTTGCATTCATTATTGATATATTCTAAGTACAATCGACATATCGCTTCCTCCATCTCCCATTCAATTGCTATTATATACACTTGTATTTCCCGTTTCAATTTCTATGCAATGCTAAAACCGTTAGCTGTAAGTGTGTGTGTGTGTGCAATCGACAGTCGCTTTCCTCAAATCCTATTAGAAGTCATCTCATTTCCATTTCCTTTCACATAACGTTCTCCTAAAGACTTCCATTTTCTATTCATATTCACTCTCACGGCTCTGCACTCATTCTAATTCCTGTCTATGACATAATAAACATAAAAAAACTTGATGTCTGCGAGTGGTTTATAATCAGTTAAGAGCTCGGTGTCTGCTGCCCACTGCAGTTGGCTGCATGCCACTGGAGATCATGCCGTGCATACCAAGCCGACGGACGGGCTAGACCAGAATCAGGTCCGATCTCACTTATGGGAATTATGAGCTGTGCGCACGACTGTCTCTATATACTTTTGCATTTGTGTGAGTGAACCAAAATATGACGGCCTACGTTTATGCACTTAAGCCTTTTGTTGCTGCAATGCAAATGAGTTGCAGCCGAAATAAAGCGAGAGAAATACGAATGAAATCGCAACAAGTTGCACGTACGTGAGATGTTGACGATGTGCCGCAGTGGCTGTGGCTGTGGCTGTGGCAAATGCAAATGTCCATGCCTCATGTCTGGCAGCGTGAGCAACTGTGCAAGTGGCAGGCATTTGGCCAGGTAGTCACAAGCTAAGCTGTTGGCCAGGTAGTCAACCGACGCGCTGTTTCCTGTGCCACAGATAGCGACATTTTTTATGGACAGAGCCTGACAGCCGCCAACCGCCAACCGCCAATATCTTTATTAGCGAATGGGAAAAGGCGGCCGCCTAGGTGTGCAAGCATATGTGTGAGTGTATAAGTGTATGTGTGTGAGTGTGGTGAAAGGCTCACAAGTGCGACATGCCACCCACGAGCAGCTGCCCCAGAAACCCAGAGCCACAGCCAAAGCCTGCGCCACAGCCAGAGCTTTCCCGTTTAAATGGGTTCAAGGTAAGCGCGTGCCGTACGAAAAACCAAAAAAAAAAAAGTGAAAATCGCCTTTGGAGCATAAATCAAAAGGCAGCTTTGGCCAATTAAAGGTGTGTGGGTGCACTCAGGTGTGTGCGGGATTAGAAGCAGTGGGCGTCTGTCTGCTTACCTGGCTTGTAGCCCCTCAATTTCCTCGCTCTGCTCAGCCAGCGATGATTCCAGATCCAGATAAGCGCCAAAGTCGCCATCCTTGTACACCTGAATAGCTGCGTCATCAATCTGCAAGTAGACGAGGAAGCAGAAGAAAGGCAGATTGTAAACGAAAGAAGACGAAAAAAAGGAAAACAGAAAACATCAAATAAAACCGAGTTCAGGCAATTATAATTAAAGCAAAAGTATGTAAGACTACCGAGCTACGCAGTAAAAGTTGTTTATGGCCCGGACTTTGGGTCTGGGGCAACAAAAGAGAAAGATGCAGATGCCACAGCGGGGCATAGAACATTTTTGTGAGTGACGGTTGCATTGAAAGTTGGCAGACATGATTGCCACAAAGATGCTGCAGCAGCAACTGCTGCTGCTGCTGATGATGATGATGATGATGATGATGATGCTGCTGCTGATGATGTTGTCGTCTGCTTCGACGGCTGGTCACCTACTTTTCACCGGGCAGCTTTCAGTTTTCAAGCCGTTGATTGCCATGGCCAAGCGCTTGATTGATCAAATCTTGAGCTCAGCGCCGACTTGGTTGGTTGGGTTCAGCTCCTGCTGCGTTCCACGCACACCAACTGCTGTCCGTCTCTCGTCTGTGTTTATGTTTGTTTTTTTTTTTATTGGCGCATTGAAAGTAATTATTTGTGCATTTAGAGAACAATTACCGGACAACATGGAATTATGTGTGTCGACGCTTGCTTAATGTGTGAAAATGAAAGAAGAAATAGAAGAAAATGCAATCGCAGCAGCAGCAGCTAAAGAAATCATTTGGCCAGCGCTCATCCGGGTAAAGATTACACATACGCCCCGTTTGTAGCCAGGGCACGCCCAGACCAAAAGGGAATTAACGCTGCAGAGGAGTAGCCATAGTCGCTCCCAAGTCTGGCCAGACACACCCCCAACAATAGCAACTACAACAACAACAACAACAACAACAAGGCAAGCAACAGCCACATCGCGTGCCCCAAGGTTCTTGTCTTTCATAACTTTTGACGCTGCACCCAGAGGCCATTTGGCAAATTAAAAGCTGCCAGCCAATGCATGGCCAACGACTCTTTGTGTAGGGCGAGCCCCAAAAAGAATAGAAACTATTTTACTTCTTTTGCTCAACAGGCAGTGGGAGAACTATGAAAGAACTGCGCATGATATATGGCATGGGGAACGAGAGAGTTGCATATGGTTACGCGAATAGTCCATTGTTGAGTGGAGTATATATACATATATATAGTGTATAGTATATATATTGTATATATTGTATCTTATAGGGTATTATTTGACTATATTTAGTATTATTTTATAGGGTATACTTGAGGCTAGCACTATAGATCAAGGTGTATTGCTAGTAGTACTACTAAATACTACAATCTACTCATGTAGATTAATTCATCGTAGAAAAAATATTAAATAATATAAGGAAAATCATAAAGAAAATTCATTAAGCTATTAAATATTTACCTATTTATCTATTTAATATCAATGGAATACCAAGATAATGAGAGCATTCTTATAAGTAAAATCTCTTAAGAAATGCAGCACTTTATGGTAGTAAAGAATTTCATGTGATAATATAAAGAATGCTATTGGCAAACTATTTTACATAAGATTATATATAATGTGACAGCGAAGGCATAACATAAATACTAGAGTATATCATAGTACATCAAGCATATAATCTAATAACATATACAGTATAAACATACTATATATAGTATATAATATTATAGTATATTAACCATAATAGGAAATGTAATCATAGGCAGACTCATCTGCTTATTCCCTTAAGTGCCTAAACCAACTTGAAATTTATTTCAAGAATCAGGCATCTAAAAATACTTTATCAACGGTAAACTTTAGCTTCTGGCTGGCATACTGCAGCTGACTAATAACCATAATTCTCATAGTTTAGTCACACGCTCAGCTCAGCTCTGGGATGAGTCGAACAATGAGCACAGGTAAACAATATGATTTTAAATAGCAGGAACCAAGCCGTCTGGCTGAGAGCTTCGTCATATCTCGAATTGCTCTATATACGAGTAAATATATCAAATTTCGCATGTAGTCAATGAGGAAAATGCTATTTTTTAGACTGAATGACGACGCGGCAGAGCCTGAATCAACCGAAATAATATGGAACATCAGTAATTCTGTTTTTGGAAGCGCTAATGCGCGATATTTATTGAAATTATGTGCGACAAACTATTTCCTATTGACTTTTATGTAAGCGTTCGCCTTAGTGTTTCAGTTCGACGGCAATCAAAAGCGAGCCAAGTGTTTGCCCACAAAAGAAATCGTAAATAGCCCCAGGTAACGCCGGCTGTTGACCAAAAACTATATCGACTCGCTTGTAATATTTATTTTCATAAATTTTTCTTTATATTTATTTATTCATATTTTGTTTTTATTTTTACATGCGAATATTCATTCACAGCTCTATGCAAATTTTATAGTTTTTTTTCGCTTTGCCGCTGTTGATTTTTGAGTGAAGCATGACAAGATTTTTAATCAAATTGAATTTCGCATTGGTCTTTGATATTTTTTGTTTTTTTCTGTTGCCCATTCAAGCGAGTGCCAAACACATAAAATTCGGCTATTGACACAGTTAAGGCAAACGAGCATAATCATTTTTTTGGTGGGGAGAAAATGTGAGCCCAAAAAATTAAAAAACTACTATGCTTAGGCAAACAAATTGGGAGTAATATTTATTTGGCATGGTAATAAAATGCGAATTAAATAAGACAAATAAGTAGTAAAAGTAAGTGAAAACTATTTAGAAATGAAATTTTACACAAAAATAAAAATTTTAAAATAAATAAATAAAAAAATAAAGTAAATAAAATAAGTATATATTTATTTTATATATATTTAAATTTTTAATTTATATATATTAAATATAAATAATATATATTATATATCATTTATGTATATAATTATATATTTTATTTATATATATAATTATAAAATTATATTTCATATAATAAAATTATTCATATATAAGAATATATAGTATTAATAATTAAAAAAAAAATATATAAAAAAATAATTAAATAAAAATATAGTAAAAAGTAATTTAAAATAATAAAAATTATAGCTACATATATTCAAAGCTAATTCAATACCAATAGAAAGCACAGCATAAAGAGCTAAGCCATCCTATATGACATATTAGTTAACCATATAAGTTAATGAAAACTATCAAATAAATTGACTTCAGGGTTTATTTGACATATGAATTGTTTACTTTTTTATGGCACATTCTTTGTGTTGGCCTCTGGGAAACGTGATCTTGATGAATGGCTCACACTTTTGCTTTCCAATCAATGGCCCCGCTGCCCAAGGGTTAATTGACCCCACCGACTGACCACAAAGTGTGGCATGCTAATTGAGGTTGAAAACCTTCCTCAACAAAGCAGCAAAAAAAAAAAAAAAAAAACCAAAACAAAAACAAAAACTTCAAAAGTTTCGCCAATCTATGCAAATGACTTAAGCAAATAGAAAATGATGCGTCAGCTGGCAGTGCGTATGCTTAATACATATACTACTATATATAAAGATATATATGTGCGTAATCTTATAATATATGGTAAATATATTTAGTAGATATTTAGTTGAATGGAACTTTGATTTCACAATTGCAGGCAACAGAAATTGAATTAATATTGATTTTGAATGTGAGAATGACATAGGTAAATGACGCAATGCTCACATAATATACATACAAGATATATACGATATATATATAGACAGATATATGTTCTAGACTAGGGCCAGCACTTTGGCTTTTGTTACTGTTTACTGGGCCATAGACAAATCGCTTTGTTTCGTTTTTAATTTATTTGTTTCGTTCGATTTGATTTCATTTCGAATATAGATATATGTATATTTGTATTTAAAATTGATTGGCGCACACGCTCTTTAAGCTTATCTAAAAAAGAATGAGGTGACGTGCAAAAATAAGCAACAAAAAAAGAGAGAGAGAGGGAGAGAATGAATAAAAACTGAAATAAAACCAAAACAAGAAAAACCGCTGCGCCGATTGACCGCAACGAAAACTGATTATTTATATTATTTTGTATTTAATTTTTTTTTTTTTTTGTATTTTTAGATGTAGTGTGTAGAATGGAGAATCGGACATGACATCACCCAAAAGATTAGAAATCAGCAATTGAGAGGCGAAAATTTATGAACCCATTGTAATGCGCTAAATTTAACAAGTTGCAATCGAAGTCTCCCTCTACATACATACGCCCCTACCGCTGCCCCTACCGGGCACTGCGACGGTTTCTCGCTGCCCAGTCTCGCTGCTTTGGTGTTCGAGTCTAGTCGCTGACTAATTGGACAAATGGCATTCACAGCTGCCGCGCCTGCCACATAAATCTGCCTACGACAACATCCTGAGCCAAGAGCAAACAGCGAACTGCAAAGGCCAGATAGTGCCCAGAGTGCTCAGCCTCTAGGAAGTGCTCGACTAGGCAGCATCCTCTAGTCGGTGGCTCACTAAGCATTGAATATTTTAACGATATTCATCTGCATATATACTGCATACACAAAAGCCCATATACCCGCCTCAGTCACTCTACCAATAGTTACAGGGTATTTATGGAGAGGGAAAAAGAGAACGAGAACGTTGCATTTCCTTTTGCGATTTGCTCATTAGAATTTATTGCTGCCGCTTGTCAAGATTTACGTATCCTTGCCACAGAGCTCCACATGACAGATGACAGGCAATGGCAATGGGGTTGCATGTGGCAAGCTGCAAGCTGCAAGCTGCATGCTGCCTGCTGCTCGCTGCTTGCCTTTTGCAAATTAGTCAAAGTCAAAGATCGGCGGTACGAACAATGCCTCGACTTAGATAATTGCTGACCAAGGCTTTCTTTCACAATGCCAATGAAAAGTGCTGCAAGTTGTTTTTATCCCTCTGCGCCTTTTATTTCGCTTTGTGCCCCAACTTCCTATTAGCTGCAACAGATTGTGCGATAGCAATAAGTTAGCCGCAGGCCCACAGTGCCGGCTGCATTGGCCCCATCTTCAAAGCCAAGCCTGTCCATTGGCCATTGTCTCTGACGCTGAAGCTGACGCTGAGGCTGACGTGAAGTGGAGCTTCAGTCTTAGCCACGGCCTCAGCTTCAACCTCAGCTCAGCTCAGCTCAGCTGCTGGCAATGCATCATTTGTTAAATATTAAGAACAATAAAATATAATAAGTGGCAGCTAGAACTGCAGCATGTCGATCACTGAACTAAAGTCTTGGGCAAGCCAACGTGATATACCCTGTAATCTAGGCATAAGTATTGCTAAGGAAAACCAATCATGATCTAAAATTAAATTAGGCTAATTTGTTAAAGTTAGTCACGCTTAAAGTTTCAGTTAGAGCATTAACTTTACATTTGGAAAACTTTTCCGGGAATTCCGCTGTCTTTTCCCATTATCTCATCTTTAGCATTTGTTCATCTGCCATGTGTCAGACAATGTTTATACTTATCAATTATTGCTATGTAAATAGTTCAGCTGCTATACTGAAAACTTATTCATTTTGGTTTTTCCATCACATGGAAACGAGTACACTGAGCGCAAATAGTCTTGCTTTTGACCTTCAAAATCGTCGCCATTTATATTTTTAGCAAAATTTGAAACTATTGTTTATGTTCATATGTTGTAGTTCTTTGATCTTTGCTTTTCATGCGAATTTTATGGCTTTGAACTTGTATTTTATGCAAAATTTCAACTCACATAATATATACATTAATATTTATACCCAATACAATCGACAAATGCGCTCTGGGAAGCAAAATAGGCGAAACAAAAACGTATAAAACAAAGGGAAGTCAAAGAAACACTGAGTTTAAAAAGTTGGCGCACATAAGAAGTATTCATAAGCATTTCAGATTAAGTGTGATATTTCTAAATATTAAATATTATTCATTCAAATATATTTATGTTTTATAACTAACTTAATTAAAATTACGTTTTTGTCGTATTTTTTTTTTTTTTTGAAATTTCATCAATCAACGTTCACATACTTTTACTAGTAAATAATGTTGCATATCATATCCAGTTTTAGACCAGTAGTCGAATAAACGATAAACGCGATCTAGTCTTATAACTGTATATAAAAGACCTTCTACTTTGCCACAATTAAGAAAAGAAAAGAGAGAAAAAAAAACAGAAACTATGCAAAAAATGTAATCTCTATAAGCTCTATACATATAGACTATATATCTGCAGATAAGCGCTATGCATGTGTCTCATAAGTGGCTATTAAAATAAAAATAAAAAACAAAGTATTGTTCCCTCGAAGTCGAAGTCGAAAAGAAGAAAAAAAAATAAGTAAAGTCAAATAGCGTTTAAGCTAACTCAAAACAAAAGAGAAACGTGGATGATGCAGATAAGATAAATCAAGGCAGAGTACTTTTTTTTGTGCTTTGCTTTGTTTGCTGGCTTGCTAAGTATGTGTGTAATGGGATATTTGCTGGAATAATGGGAAATTTTTGGTTGATTGCTTATTGTGATCCTTACGCTTTGCGGTGCATTGAGCAGCCTCAGGATGGTGGCCAGCTGCGTGGAGAGGGGCATGGTGGTGGCGAAGGCATACGTCGGGGCACGCACTGGTATCGGGAAGGCGGTGCTTGCCGACAGCGGATCGCTGTCGAGCAGATACTGCACACGAAGGGTGATTAGTTCGTCGGGTTCCATTTTCACAATCATTTTGCGGCACGAAAATGTTCAACTGAGATTTATCAGCACTTGGTACTTTTCTGCTCTCTCTCGCTCTCTCTTTAGGCAATTGCGATGCGTTGCAGATTTTACTTTAAATATTCACATTTATTCACATTTTCACCGAATTGTTTTTTTTTTTTGCTTCCGCTGGAATGAACATTTCACATTTTGATTTGTTTGCTTGCAATTTATTTTAATTTTGATTTTGATGTCTGTGCAGACCGAAATGGAATTTATAAATCCGTTGCATAATTGTCGCTCTCTCACTCGCACACACACGCACATTGCGCAATCTTATGCTAAACGCTGCAAATTGCTGGCTCCAGCCACGCCCACTTCTCACACAACAACTAATCGTAATATACACACATGTGGCACACATATAATTGCTATGCGAACCGGATCGCTCTCTGTAAATATTTGCCTTGATTTCTGGTTCGCTTTTGCTCGCCTCCTCCTACTCCTGCTCCTCCTCCTCCTACACCATCGACTAACGGTTGTGTAACTTTCAATTCAATGTCAGTTAACAGCCTCGCCTCTTGCTGTTCGCCAAACAAACCCCACCGCCCCGCTCACTCCCTCTCCCCCACTACGGCTCTTATACATTCAGCTGGCATAGCTCCATTGGCTTCCAATCAAAATCAAAAACAGAAAAGAAAGAAAGAAGAAGATATATACCTAAAACATGACAAAGAGAAAAGAGCAGAAGCAGACAAAAGTCAGCGGCTTGAAGCGCTCTTCATGTACCGCTAAATGGCTGTCGGAATGTGCGTAAGTTGTTTATGCAAATGTACTAGTTGCTCTTGCTTATGCTCTTGCTCTTCTTCTTCTTGTTGTTGTTTCGTTATATGTATGTCGTAGTCTGGCTCTGAATTGGTGTTGCTGCTCGTCTGTGGTTTATGACCAACGGCTGCCTGGCTGCCTGGCTGCCTGGCTGACTGCCGTGCTGGCTTCTTTGTGCCACATAATTGCTTATAACGTGACTCTAATGAGCTCTGCTCCAACTGCCCCCCAAAGACACCGAGCACTTGTCTAACTGACATTGAACTCGTGGCGGGTCGAAAAATGGTTGGGCAACACAACTTGGCCAAAGGCTTACAGCACTGTAAGGGATATTCATTGAAAGAAATGAAGAACCAGGAAGTCTAGAGAGTATATAGGAAAATGGCAGCTATAATTCATATTATTATTATATATACTTAATATTCGAGCAATATGAATGTTTTATCTGCTTTCTTAATTCAGCGAGCTTTAGTAATAAATATTTACATTAGAACTTTATTCAGCGCTTTCATGTGCTTCAGGCCCAACTGAAATGCTTCAGCATAAAACAATCTTACAAATTAGTTTACGACTTAAACTCTTAACAGCTTGCCTAAGCTTCAATGATCTCTTAAGCCAACTTAATGAGCTTTCACAATGATTACTCTG